ATATAAATTGTTACATGGAAAACTAATTTGCCTTGCATTCACTTCGTTGAAATATCACTTGATTAAGTTCAGTTTCTTTTTGTTATTCGTCACTGTACAGTGCCTGAGGTGACAGATAACAATATTTATTTCCAGGGATCTGCCCTTAGACTAGTTGAAGAAATACCACTGTCTCACTTATGGATTATTCCTGTTGTTCTCAAATGGACATCATTTCTCCATATGCTTGGCTGGACCCTCCATTGTACCGTCCTGAGAATCAACTTCTTCCTCCCTCCGTTCCTGCCTTCGTCATTTTTGTATTACTTCATTTGTGAGAGTACTATGCCATAAACTTCCTGAACATTCACACTCAAAAGAAGTAAGGATGGCAAGACTTGTCAGGAAGAATCAGTCCCTGAAGAAGGAGCTTATACATGACAAAGTGGAGGGTCAGGAAAAAAGAGGAAAACCCCAAAGGAGATGGGAGACACAGTGGCAATAACAGTTGGCTCAAACATAGTAACAATTGTGTGGGTGGTGCAGTGTGGACAGTATTTCATTCTGTTGCTCATCGCGTTGTTATGAGTCAGAATTGACTTGCTGATAGTTTACGTGAAGTGGGGATAGGGTAGTCGTATACGCCACAAAGAAGAAAAAAGGGGATTACTTGGGGTGGGGAAGAGATATAGAAGTTTAAAGCTGCTGCTTTTAAGTTAAGTATATAAAGTTACATAAGAGAAGCATGAATGTATTTAAATTATACTTTAATTTCATATTTTGTCTGGTTGAGGAGGAAGATGCAATAGAGGAAAAAAGAAAATCAAGAGGAAATGCAGATAGGGTGAGAGGCTTGTTATCCTCTTAACTCAGAGTTTGCATTCCCAGGATTCTGAGTTTCAAGACACTTAGATAGTGAGTTTCAGAGAATCTTGTCTTATCACTGCTCTTCAAAATGCAAATTAATTGATTATCCCTTCATCTTAGTTTGTGAATGCTAGCCATAACCATAACTAAAAGGAGATCCTTCGCTATGCTGCAGAAGCAGATAGCAATTCTGCCTTGCTTTGTGACCCTCAAAGGCCAGAGATGCCCCAGCTTGCCAGATAAGAAGCTTAGTCAACAACGGAACCAGCCGATTCAGTAGTGTGGTGCTGTAGGATAAGCACTGGATCACAGGTTAATTTGAACTGCAAGGTTGGCAGATCAAACTCACCAGCTGCTCCTCGGAAACCCTATACAGAGTCACTATGAGTTGGAACCAACTGGACAGTACTTAACATCAGCAACAATGCAATGTATAACTGCAAACTGCTTACCAAAATTCTTAGAGAAGTCTTTTATCTTCTCAAAGATACAATAAGAACCTTTCACCAGATTTATTCAATCTGTATGCTGAACAGATAATCCAAGAAGCTAAACTATAGGAAGAAAAGCATCAGGATTGGAGGAAGACTCATTAACAACCAGTGATATGTAGATGATACACTTTGTTTGCTGGAAGTGAAGAGGACTTGAAGCACTTACTGATGAATGTCAAAGACATTCAAAAAAGACAAAAAGCCTTCAATGTGGAAACAAAAATCCTCACAACTGGATCAGCAAGCAATATCATGGTAAGTATAGAAAATACTGAAGGTGTCAAGGATTTTGTTTAATTGCATCTACAATGTATCCTCATGGAAGCAACAATCAAGAAATCAAACAATGTATTATTACATTGGGCAAATCCGCAGCAAAAGAACTCTTTAAAGTGTTAATAAGCAAAGATGACACTTTGAAGGGTAAAGTTTGCCTGACCCTGGTATTTTTAGTCATTTCATATGCTTATAAAAGCTGGACAATGAATAAGGAATACCAAAGAAGAACTGATGCATTTGGGTTTTGGTGTTGACTAAAAGAATATAAAATATAAGATAGACTGCCAGAAGAATGAACAAATCTGTTTTGAAAGAAGTATAGCTGTACTGTCCCTTAAAATTGAGGGTGACAATACTTTGTCTAATGTATTTTGGTCATGTTATCGAGAGGAACCAGTTCCTGGAGACAGACCATCCTGCTTGGTAAAATTGAAGGTCACTGAAAGAGAGGAAGACTCTCAAAGAGATGGATTGATCCAGTGGTTGAAACAATGGGCTCAAGTGTAGCAATGACTCTGAGAATGGCACAGGACCGGGCAGTGTTTCATTCTGTTGGACCCAGGATTGCTGTGAGTTAGAACCAACTCATTGGCACCTAACAACAACAGTGACCACTTATTAGCTTTGACTTGTTACAAGTCTTTACCTTTCCAGTCCCTACCACTCTCTTTCCTACCTGAGGCTTCTCCACTGGCACCAGGAAGGGTTAATTGCAGGGCATGGTCAAGTTTTCGGACTAACTTGACTTTCCTTCCATCCTCAGAACCAGGTTTATTTGTTGAATGCTTAGCTACTTTGACATTGCTGTCATTAACATCCTAACACAGGGTGGTGCTCAGTCTTGGAGTGAGGTGTTTGCTACAAATGCAGAATCACAGGCCCTGTCCCAGACATTCTGAATCAGGATGTGCACATTAGTAAGATACCCTGATGACTCTCATATGAGTATTAAAGTTTTAGAAGCACTGCTGGCCCCTCTGGCTTTTACTTTTTTCCATTCTAATTTGACACCATTCAGACAGAAACTACTTTAAATTATTTTGAGACTTGGGGTTTCTCCATAATCTTATTCATCTTTTGTTTTCTAGTCCACGCCTTTAAACCGTCTTTCCACTTTTCAACCCCTCACTCCTATTTTTATCTCCGCTCATTCCCATCCTCTCTAATTTTACAGAGATCAGATGACTTTGCTATGGTAATTTTTTTCCTTCTTTCCTTCCTTCCTTCCTTTTTGTTTTTCTCTCATGTCTCAGAAGGAGTAATATCTTCCTTATTTCTAAGCGAGTTCTTCTACCTGTGCCTTTGATTCATTTACTTCTTTCCCCTCTGTGATCTTGCTTTATTGTTTTCTCTCCCAGAGTCATTTCTATCATCTCTGCTAAGTCATTTCTTTTTGTATTAAAGGTTCCGAGAACTTCTTTTAAGAAAATCACAACACACATTCACAATGACTTGATCCTACTCACTTCTGGTTTGTATTCTTTCTTCTAGTTCACAACTAAACTTCTCAAACAAATGTTATAGAACCATGGGTTTTAACTGGGTGATTTTGACCAGTGGACCTTTGACAAGGTTTGTCACAAATATAGAAGATGTTACTGGCATCTAGTGAGTCAAAACCAGGGATGCTACTAAACATCCTACAATACAAGATAGGCCCAACAACAATGAATTATCTGGCTTGAGTGGCTGACCACTCTCTTTTGCTTGTAATTTTCTCAATCTTAACAGTGAAAGTTTTGGGTATCAAAAAACCCCTTATCCCTGGGTGAACTGGAACGGCTGGTCATCCTATGTCTGGCCCTATATTAAAATGACTTAGTTGGTGCAACAGAAACAGCACAAGTGGATGGTTTAACAAAAAAATTACTTTTTCACAGTTTCTCCTTGTTCTTAAGTGCCGAGTTGGTTCCAACCCATAGCAACCCTAAATAGATAGGGTTTCCAAGGAGCAGCTGGTGAGCTTAAACTGCCAACCTTACAGTTCAAACCAACTTTGCAGCCCAGCACATTAACCCACAGTGCCATACCAAGACTCACAGTTCAGGAGGCTAGAAATCCAAATTCAGGGGTTGATTCTGGGGAAAGGGTTTCTCTCTCTCTTGACTCTGGGGGACGGAATTTATTACTTGACTCCTTGGCAGTTTTCATATGACTGGCCTGTATCTTCCCTCATTTCTGCTTGCCTAATCTGCTCATTTTATCTTTTGTAAGAGATTAACTCAAGACATCCTACACTAATTCTGCAGAAAACTCATTCCCAAATGGAATTATAACCATTAGCTTAGAGGTTTGGATTTACAACTTGTGTTTTGGGGGGACACAATTCAATCCACAACAGGTCCAAAATGTCAAAAGTGCCCAAGTTGAGAAATGCTGCTTTAGAAGAAAACCACATGGCTTTCACTTTTCATCCTTTGAGCTCCCTTCCCTTTAATCTGACATTTAATTTGTGCCTTCTGTAGAAAGTCATCAATGTGAGGACATTTTCTCCTTCCTCAATCTTTATGATCTTTTTCAAGCGTTTAACACTGTTAATTTGTTCCCTTTCTCTCTTTATTATGATAAATATATAAGTAACCAAACATCTGCCATTTATACAGTCTCCACATGTATAGTTCAGTGACCTTATGTTCATCATGTTGCTCAACCAACAGTACTCCCCCATTTTTCCGTTACTTTTCAAAGATGTTCAGTGTCCACTAAGAATTGTGTATTTACACTTGAGTTTTTGTTTCTGTTTCTGCCAACCCCAACTTTATTTTTTAAAACTTTTTTTTTTCTTGGATTCAGGCAATCTATCATGCCAGAAATAATAGACAATAAATAACAATAAATGGTGTCATATTCTTTTTTTTCTCTTGTAACTTTCTATTGTCAATTTGAATGAAAATTAACAGACATGATCATCAGCTTTACAGTCAACAAATGATATGCTTGTTTCATCTCAATGATTACAATCCCCCCTCTTAAAACTTTTTATTGTGGTTTGAGTAAAGGCTTAGAGACAAAATCATCAGTTTCACAATCAACAAATTATATACTGTGTTGTCCCCCAATGATTATAATCCCCTCCATGCAACAACAGTTACAATGAAAACAAAATTATTTGAAAGATGTGATTATCATATAAACATTGTCCTCCTGAACCCTGCTGGCACTTTGTACCTTACATATGACTTATAATGAAAGATATAGCAAACTTGTTAAAAATAGGGATCATAGCTTAAACCTTTTCTTTCAAAGACTGAGGATAAGGAAAGACGGATGAAAGATTAGCAATTTCACTTGCTCTTCAGTTTTTATAACTATTAGAGTCACTAATTTGAAACATTTTATACTATGCCTAATTTGTCACATTTTTTTATATCTCTAATTTAGGTGATGTCTATCCAGTACAAATGGATCTACTAGCACAATCTCAGTTTGTACCTTTGGCTGAAGTTCTTTGTTGTGCTGTATCAGATATGAATGCAGCTCAGATTGTAGTAACACAGGAATCATTACTGAAGCATTTGGTGAAACATTACCCAGGTAGACTAATCAGTTTTTCTCTATTAGTGGTTCATATCATGTGTTTGACTTCTGTTTATAATCTTAATAGATATAAGTTGTTCTTGTTAAGTACCGTCGGGTTGGTTCCGACCCATAGCGACCCTGTATAGGGTTTCCGAGGCTGTAAATCCTTACGGGAGCAGAAAGCCTCATCTTTCTCCCACGGAGCAGCTGGTAGTTTCGAACTGCTGACTTTGCAGCCTGATTCGTAACCTCTACGTTACCAGAGGTCCTTAATAGATATAAGTAGAGCAGGTAAATCTATTTCCCCCCTCCCCCCCCCGCTTCTCTATAACCATATATAAAGAGCTCTGGTAGGAAGTGGAAGTGGTTATGAGTCAAGCTGCTAACCTTAAGGTCAGCAGTTGAAACTACCAACCATTCCATGGAAGAAAAGTGAGGCTTTCTACTCCTGTAAAGATTTACAGTCTCAGAAACCCTGTGCATGGTTGGTATGAGTCAGAACCGACTCCTTGGCACACCACCACCACATAACCATATGTACATGGAGTCCTGGTGTGGTGCTGCAGGATAATGCACTGGACTGAAAGGTCAGTTTGAACTGTATGGTCTGTGGCTCAAACCTACCAGCTGCTCCTTGGAAATCCTAGACAGAGTTGCTGTGAGTCAGAACTATCTCAGTGGTATTTAACAACAACATAGGAGCCGTAGTAGATAGTGGGTTATGCGTTGGGCTGCTAACCACTAGGTTCATGTCCACCAGCTGCAGCTTGAGAGAGAGATGAGGCTTTCTGCTCCTGTAAAAATTTACAGCCTTGAAAATCCTGTACAAGGTTTCTGTGAGTCAGAACTGACTTGATGGTACACAGTAGCAGCAGCAGTGTAATCATATAAAAGACTCCTGGTGTTTAAACTATAGGATCATCACTGCACTGCTAACTGCAAGGTCGGTGGTTCAAACCCACCATTCCTATACAGGGTTGCTATGAGTTAGAACCACCTTTAAGGCACCTAACAGCAACAACATAATCATATATCATTGTATCCTTATATTAGCAAATTTAATAAGAATTTTAAAAATTTTCAGATGAGCATTTAAAACAAATGCTTATGACAATAAATAAATATATAAACCAGACTCTGTAGTGGGGGTTATAAAGTGAAAAGGAAAAGGTGATTTTTCCTCCCCTCCATTCCCGCTGATAGGTGACTATTGCTACTGTTCATCATTTCTTATGTCCACCTTTCATACATAGTATCGGGATATGTTGTTGTGACATGCCATCAAGTCAGTTCCAACTCATAGCGACCCTGTCTGTATAGGGTTTCCAAGGAGCAGCTGGTGGGTTTGTACCACTGACCGTAAGGTTAGCACTCCAGTGCTTATCCTACAGCACCACACCGGACTCCATTTGGATATACATATCCCTTTTTATTGGAGTCCTGGTGTGGCACTGTGGATTAATGCGCTGGACTGCAAAGTCGGCTTGAATTGCAAGGTGGGCGGTTCAAGCTCACCAACCACTCCTCACAAGCCCTATACAGGGTCACTAAGAGTAGGAACTGACTCGACGGTACAACAGTTCATGTCCTGGAGGCACAGTGGGTTATGTTGGACTGCTAACCAGGGATGAGGCTGTCTGCTCCAAGAAAGATTCCCAGCCTTGGAAACCCTAGGGAGCAGTTCTACCCTGACCTATAGGTCACAATGCCTCAGAATTGACTCCCTAACAGTAGTTATTCATGTTCTTCCTACTATTTTTACTTAAATTTTATCTTAAAGATCTTTCCATATCACTACTGTTGATCTAGCTCACTTCAATAGCTGCATGGTATTCCAGTGTGTGGCTATAGAAGACTATTTGTATCTTTCCCATTATAAAAATCCATTGTAGAAAAAAAAGAAATCACAGACCACCACCCAAAGAAAACTAATGTAATTGATTTTTTTCCTAAAAATGTTATGTGTTTTTAACATTGTTTTAATAATACATTTTGAACCCTGCTATATGGAAAAGAGAATTTCTTCTAAAATTATTTTGTTACATTCCTAGCTTGAAAAAGCACCACACCATATCCGGATATTTTGAAACTTGCTCTCATTTTTTCTATAGATTCTTATGAAGATTTAAACAACTGAGACTGTGGTTTTAAAATACTCCTGCATTTGTTTGCCAAGAATGCTTTTCTCAGTCACATTTTAAATTTCTGTGTTTGCATAACTTAGTGTATGTGCATGGACTCAGATTTTTTTCATTAGCCATTAACCTGGCTATATATTTTTTTGTCTGAGTGAAATAAATTCCTATTATTCAATTAAACTACGAATAGCGTTAATGCTTCTTTGGCACTTTAATTTCATATTTTAATTTAATTACATATACTTAATTACATTGAACTAATTGGGCTCATTTTGTAAATGTGTAAGTTCACTTTGTAAGTGTTTTGTTCTGTTGTACATAGGGTCACTGTGAGTCGGTACTGACTCAGTGGCATCTAAAACATTAATAGCAATTGGGTTCATTTTGTACATGTGTAGTTATTTCTAAGTTACTGATTTAATCATTGAAATGTTTTTTATTCACAATCAATCTGTGTAAAATGCTTGTTTATTTTAGGCATTGCGGTTCCATCTCAAGATATTCTCTATGCCACTCTGGGTACTCTGATTAAAGAAAGAAAGATTTATCACACTGGAGAAGGATACTTCATAGTTACCCCTAACACTTACTTTATCACAAATTCAACCACCCAGGAAGATAAGAGAGTCTTGTCGGAGGGAAGTCATTCAGTGCCGACTTGTATCACGTATCTGGTGAGCATGGACGGCTCTGCAGAATTCAGCAAAGAAACCGCGGCCATCACTCCTCATTGTCAGTCTTGCCAGTGCTTTCCTGATGTATGTACTCAGCCTTGTCAGGAACCATCACCTGCTGCAGACGTGGTTAGAAAAGACCAGGAAGGACTCAGGGAATGCAAACCTTTGGTACAGAATCAGGAAGTTTCAGTGTCTGAGGAGAATCAGGGCTACGATCGGATCAAACCTTTACCATGCACAAAAGATAGAGAAAAAGGCAAAAAGTTTGGCTTTGGTCTCTTTTGGCGCAATATATCCAGAAAGGAAAAACCTAAAACAGAGCACAGCAGCTTCTCTGCCCAGTTCCCACCTGAAGAATGGCCTGTTCGAGATGAAGATGACCTGGACAACATCCCACGACACATTGAGCATGAGATAATCAAACGAATCAACCCCATTCTGACTGTTGATAACTTAATCAAGCACACTGTCCTAATGCAGAAATATGAAGAGCAGAAAAAATATAATAGCCAGGGTACTTCCACTGATATGCGGATAGGTAGGCACAAATCTTCCCCCAAAGAGGGAGTTAAGAAAAGGCATGGTCGTTCTGCAAAGCCTCGAAGGCAGGGTCATGGCCATAGAGAGAGACACAAAGGCAGGAGTCAGGCATGTGAGCCTCAGCCAAGAAGCATTAGACACGGGAAACATGCCAAGCTCCTCGTGACACAACCCACACCCAGAAGTCAAAGCCCAGACGAAACAGTTCAGAAACCACTTGGTGAGAATCCAACAATGCTAGGTTCTCATTTGATTTACAAAAGGAGAATCAGCAATCCTTTCCAGGGTTTGCCTCACCTCAAGAGCCCAGTAACCAGAGGGCACAAGAGTCAGAAGACCAGTACTCTGAAACCCAGTCAGACTGAACCAAAAGAAAGAACTTTCCAAAGGTCAAAGTCTTTAAATTCCTCAAGAATTTTTAACTGTGAAACCAAACAGTTATATACTGAACAACATAAAGATAAGTTGAAAGCAGAACCCATTTATGTGAGTAACTCTGTCAAACCTATCAATGATGACTTTGGGGATCACCTCCCAGATTACCCTCAATATGGTGTTTTGCTAATTGATGGTTCCTTTAGGGAAGGCATGTTGGGATATGATGTGTATGGTGGAGAAAGCAAGGAAACCCCTGAAGTCTTTAGGAAAAGTCATTCTCACTTTGACAAATTAGTGGAGACCAAAGAAACACAACATGTCCTGCCTACTCAAGATCCCTGCTCTTTAGACCAGGCTTCCTCTGCTTGTGGATTAGTTGCTAAAACAGTACAACAATTCCAAAACCTTGGCCTTTTGGATTACCCAGTTGGTGTGAGCCATTTGAGACAACCTGAGAGAAAGATCAGAGACTCAGAAGAAAAATTCCAGAGAAAGGCATCCATCCAGGACACAGAGACTGCTAATGTAGAAAATGACAGGCTTTCTGACAATGACCAGGTCTTGTATGAGAATGAAGTGGAAGATGATGATGGTGCCTGCAGTTCATTATATCTAGAGGAGGATGATTTTTCAGAGAATGATGACCTATATCAAATACTGCCTGGTCATACTCAATATTCTTTTCCAGGTGGAAGTAAGTGGAATCATTTAGGAAAACAAAAGGTAACCACAAGATCTTTGTCTGGGTACACCACCAAAATAAGTAGGTTTGAGCCTGGGGTGCTTAATGACAATGAATGTTACAAACCCACTGTGTTGCTCAGTAACCTGGGGGAAAGCCAAAAACCTATCCTCTCTGCTGAAAGCTGTGGCCTTAGTTCAGAGGCCAGGTTTGCTTTTGATGATGAAGAGGAACCCAGTGTGGCTGGATGCATACAGGTCTCAGCGCTTGCTGATGGAAGCGTGTTTGATTACTGTAACACAAGGAAAGGCAATTCTGAGGCTGAAATCCTGCAAGACTCTGTTGATGGTGTCATAGGAAAGAAACCAGCTACTTGGAGTCAGAGTTCTCAGAATCAGGAAATTAGGAAATGTTTCAAACAGAAGTTAGAACTTTACAATTCTTCAAATATGTCAATGGTGTCTCAGAATAACCAACATGAAGACAGTCAACAGGAAGGCACAGAAAATCATAGCATGGCAGGAGATAGTGGAATAGATTCTCCTCGGTAAGTACACATAAAAGCGATTGATTAACAGCACTGTTCCACAGAATTATTACTATCAGTGGCATGGTGGTTTACTTAGTGGGAGATGGCTGGATGAACGTTTTGTAATGATATAATTCTGCCAACCTTTGCTGAATAAATTGTACAAAGTTACAATGAAATCATTTATATAATAGGATAGAGTTAATTTTTAATGTGAACAAAAGTCTGATCCATTACCACTAAATCTTGAGGTATTTCTAAAAACCAAAAGCAACAGCTATAAGCCAATCACTATATAAATAAGTGTCCCCGTGTGGCACTGTGGGTTAATGCACAGGGCTGCAAAGTTAGTTTGAACTGCAAGGTTAGTGGTTCAAGCTCACCAGTTGCTCCTCAGAAACCCCATACAAGGTCACTATCAGTTAGAACTGACTGCACTTAACAACGAAAACATATAAGTAAGAATGGGTGGGTATTAAAAATAAGAATAAAGGATAAGGACCACAGTTTGGACTTTATTTCACACAGCATGATATAGATAGTATATTGCCATGTAGAGAAGTCAAGAAGTGTTTAAAAGATATGTCTATTTTCTACCAATATTTTTCACACCAATTTGTTTAAATAACATTGTTCATATTATAAAATATGGTTGTACTCAAATGTTTGAGAAGTACTAAAAATTGTTTTTTAAAAACACCAATTCTTCCTACCAGCTAGATATTTTAAAAACTCTTTTCACAGTAGTTGTATTTGCTGCTAACACTGCAGTCTGAACAGGAAGATTTTGCCTATTGGCTTCATACTGTATACCAGCTGTACTGTGCATCTTGCTATTTTCAATGAATGATGTGCCATGAACATTTCCTCATTTTATTAAATAATCTTCTAAAAGTCATCATAGAAAATTTGGTAAAAGTCTTTGCTGTGAGTCCTGGTGTGGTATTGTAGGATAAGCACTTGACCTCAAGGTCAGTGGTTCAAACTCACCAGCCACTCTTCAGAAACTCTATACAGGGTCACTATGAGTCAGAACCAACTCAACAGCACAAGTTTGTTGTTTTTATATAAATTTGTGTGCCTTTTTTGGCACTTCCCCACCTTTCCAGCCCCATTCTATATATGTGACCCAAGCTTTCAGTGTTAAAGATTTGGTATATGTATTCTTCTCAATTTTTTCTATGCACTTCTGAATACAAGTTTTTTGTTTTTTTTTTTAATTTCTTTTTTTTTTTTGTATTTCATACAGAGCCATTGCTTTCTTTTTTCACCTATCTTGAATATGATGTTGTTGTTAAGTGCTATAGAGTTGGTTCCGACTCATAGTGACCCTGTACAGGGTTTCCGAGGCTACAAATCTTCACAGGAGCAGAAGTGTTCCTGTGGAACACCTGGTAGTTTCAAACTGCCTACCTTGAGGTTAACAACCCGATTCATAACCGCTACACTACCAGAGCGCCTTATCTTGGATATAACAGAATCAATATTATAGAGATAAAGTTCATTCTTTTTTAATGGCTGCTTAGTATTCCATTGGAAGCCCTATAGCTCTTTAGGATAAGCACTGGACTGCCAAAACAAGGTCAGTGGTTCAAGCCCACCAGCCACTATGTGGGAAAAAGGTGAAGCTTTTTGCTCCTGTAAAGATTTATAGTCTCCAAAACACTATACAGGGTAGGTATGGGTCAAAACCGACTTGATGGCATACAGCCGACACCAGCACCTAACCAAGAAGTCATTGGTCCCCTTTCTTTCTTTTTGGCAAAAGAACAGATTAGGAGAATTACTCCTTAGCATGCAGTTGATCGTTTTAATTTGAGAATCTAATTTCTTTTTAAAATAGTTTATCATATGGTATCCTGAAAGGTTCAAGTTCACCAGCTGCTCCTCAGAAACCCTATACAGGGTCGCTAGAGTCAGAACTGACTCAATGGCACTTACCAGCAACATTCGTGAAAGGTGTATATTAAAGATATTTAGAGGAAAGGGAGGGGAAGATAACACTTGAACATCACATATGTATCAGAATTGTGATAAACATGAATGAGGTTACAGATGAATAAGATGTTGTTGCTAGCTACAGGAAACTTAGAGTTTAGTTTGAGGAGACCAACCAACAAACTGAACTCAAGAAAAAGCATAAATTCTTCATAGCTGCAGAGATATGGAGTTGAGTGATGGGCCGTTTGGAGGAAAATGTGTTGAAGGACCGACTTTTGAGACATATCTTCATGTACTGTACAAATGGTTGGAAGGGTCAAAGTGGGAAAAGTGAAGTGTCAAAAGCAAAACCAGCCAAACATTAATGTGATTGGCTGAGGCAAGGTAGATGTATTGAGCAAGGTAGATTAAAATAGTTTATAGCTCTTAAGAACACTGTCAATATGAAAAACATGTGAGTCGACTTTTCCTTTCCGTATAACTTCCCAGAAACAAATATAAACAGAAAAATATTGGGCACTTCAGTTATACAGAAGAGTTTCTGTTAGAATATACTTGCTATTGAATCTAAGGACAGATGTTCAGAAAATATGAACTGCTTAGAAAGCTCTCAAATAATTAAGGTGCTGTTGTGATGCTTTTAACATGTAAAACCTACGTTCAATAGAATGCTACTCACCATTAAAGACTAACGATGAATCTGCGAAACACTTCATAACATGGATGAACCTGGAGGTAGGTCATTAAGCTGAGTGAAATAAGTCAGTCACAAAAGGGCAAATGTAAGACTATTATTATGAAAGGTCCAATAAAGATTTTAATACTGAAAAAGACATTCTTTGATGGTTACCGGGGGAGGGAAGTGTGAGTCACTGGCAGGAGAGTAGACATGTTAAAAATAAAATTAAAATATTAAAAATGCAACAACTGAACATGCCAAACATTGGTGAGGGTGTAAAACACCTTGAGCTACCATTTTGAAAAATTGTTTGCCAGTTTCTTAGAACATTAATGATACACTTTTCCTATGATAAATAAAATGTTCAACAACAACAACAAACAAACCAGTTGCTGTCACATTAATTCAGACTCATGATGACCCCATGTAAATAGGGTTTCAAAAAGTTCATGGAAAAATGGAATTAAATAATGGAATTTTCAATGAGCTTTTTGAAACTCACTTGTGTATCAGAATGGAGTTGTACTCCATAGGCTTGTCAATAAGGGTGGTTCCAGGGAAGGAAGTGGATTTCCAGGCCTTTTTTTCAAGGTCCTACTGAGTGGACTCAAACTGCCAACCTTTTGGTTAGCAGCTGAAGCTGAGCTAGTTAGCAGTTTGGACCATCCAGGAATTCCTTCTTAGCACATGTTATATGCTTGCTGTTCAAGTTGATTCTGACCCATACAACCCTATTGAGCAGAATGGAACTGCCTCATAGGTCATCTTCACAGGAACAGATTGTTGGGGCTTTATTCTGTGGGCCAGTGAGTTGCCACCACCGCTTCTTGCCTAGCACAAACGTACAGCCTTCGAGTTGATTCAGGCTCATAGTGACCTATACAGGGTTTCTAAGGCTGTAAATCTTTTCGGGAACAGAAAGCCTCATCGTTCTTTCGGTTAACAGTGCAGTGCTTATTCTGCAGCATCACCACGGCAAATAAATATGAATTGATAACTTCAGATGATTTTAGATGTTAGCTTATCTGAAAAAATGTATCTTAGTGTTAATAAATGTTGCATTGCTTCAAAGTAACAAATGAAGGGGCAATGCCTTGATTAGAAATCCAGGTCTCTTATGAAGGTTATAATTCTGTTATTTTTAATATCTTTAGGACACAGAGTCTGGCATCCAATAATTCAATCATTTTGGATGGACTGAAAAGACGACAGAACCTTCTGCAGAACTTTGAAGGCACAAAGAGCAGCAGTCAAACACGGGCACCCAATTCCTTACTACAACTCACTCCAGTCATAAATGTCTAATTCTTATTTTTCTATCAAAAAAATTTTTTTTGTAAAAATGTACAGAATGTTTTCATCAACCAAGTACATAAGGGATCCTCTGAATTCAAGTACATATGTTATTAACCTCGTTACATACTTTGTTCTACTTACTTTTTTCCTTCTTTAGACATTTTAAAGTTTTGTTTTGTTTTTTGTTTTTTCATTTTGCCATGACTTTATTGAGAATATTCAATTTTCAATAAAAGGAAACATGGACCATTTCCAATTAAACATAACTAAAATTTCAGACATTTATTAGTTTCTAATAGAATGCTAATTTACTACTCAGTAATCCATTTCTCTCTACCTAAGTTCCTGTGTTATGTGGAACTCATTGGATTTTAACACAAATTCCCAAAAATAGTGTGTTGTAGGTTTGCATAGATACTTTGTTTGCAGCTAATGTATTTTATCATTATCAGCAAGAATTTCTATGGATATGTTGGATGTGTATGGATACTGTAAACAAATCCTTCCTTTCAGTTATTGTAGCTCAGGTTTTGCTCTGTGACTCGTTTGAACATAAACAAATTAGTCCACAATGTAACTGGCAATGTCCAAAAAGGTCTGTGGCAGAAGACATCTGACTCTACCCTTCCTCTGGTCTGACCCACATTTCAGGCCCTGTGATAGCATATCAATGAGAAGTCAAGGTATTTACCTCAGATGTTGGAAGCAGAAGGGAAGCAGAATAGTTGCATGATGGTTTGTGAATGAGAAGAAGGTTCTGAATGAGATTTAGAGAAAAAAAAAAAGGAAGATGGTGGATAAAAGTTTCGATTCTGGAGGAGAATGGCAAGTTGTCTACGTCTGATCCATTTCTGCTTATGATAAGGCCAAGATATGTTTCTCAGAAGTTTTGCTAGTAGGTTGTTTATCAAACCAAATGGTGAAATGATTGGTTTTCTTGGGCTTGGGTAACAGGGAGCAGTCAAAACTATTTTCAGTTTATTGGGTAGATCACTAATATGGCTGAATAGGACTTTTTTTACCCTAAGAAGTATCTGAGGATTGTCAGAGTTTCAAGGATGACTGAACTATTTGAAAAATCTCACCATCTTGATAACAAAGAAATTCCAAGTGATGCTGGACACTGTGGAGAGCAGCATCCATGGAGTGTGGTTGTGTGTGTGTTATACCAACTACACTGTGTGGTCAGATTACTCACGGCTGACTGTTGGTTTTCACTGGGCCCTGAAACCTCATGCGCTATGGTCACAAGGACATTCCGAACCCTATTCAAAATATCAAGAGGATAATCTGGTATGGAAAATATTTGTGGGGATACAGGGAGATGCAGACTTTTTAGGTCTCTTACAGCTTAGAATCGGAAACCCTACAAAGGGTCGCTATGAGTGCAAGATGGCACTTAAAGTACAACAAGAACAGCAGCAGCTTAGAATCAGCACCAGTGAGTGATACTTAGGAGAAAAATGTCAGCTCGATTGAAGAACAACTTATCAGACCTTTGTGCTGAAAGTGAAAGAGGCAGCTTTGGAAAACGATGAATTTTCCAGTACTTAGGGCATTCAAACAGGGGCTTAATGGATTCCTTGAGTAGTATACTGAAAAGCGATTTTCAATATTTATCTTAATAAAATGGCTCAACTAAATGGTTTTGAAGATTCCTCCTAACTTGAGGTTTTGTGCTCATAGAGTTGATGACCCTGTGAAACACTGAACTCATGCTAGATGCTTGGGTGTTGCTTCTAGCTGCCCAATTCTTCACCTAACTTTCCCAACCCTTGGGAAAAGGAGCACCAACAACTCAGTCACATCTTTGATTTTAGACTGGGACAGGTTTCTTGGTAGGGTGAGGAATCCCAAAATCTCATGATTCCAGCAATGTCTAGGTATCAGTGAAATTATTCTAATTTTATCAGTGGCTACATCATGATGCTCTTTAGTTAAATGTACTACATGAAGCCTATTATGCGGTCCTAGAGGCACTCATCTATGGCAAGAAATTTGGAAGACAACTGACTGGAAGAGATCCATATTTGTGCCCATTCCAAAGAGAGGTGACCCAGTGGAATGCAGATTTCATCAGACAATACCATTAATATCACATGCAAGTAAAATTTTACTAAAGATAATATAAAAACAGCTGCAATCATACGTTGACAGAGAACTTGCAGAGGCTAAAGTTGGATTCAGATGAGGTTGTGGACCGAGGGATATCATTGCCAATGCCAGATGAATCTTGGCTGAAAGTAGTAAATACCAGAAATGTTTTCCTGTGATTTATTGACTATGCAAAGGTTTAAAAATGAATGGCTTGCATTTTTTCAGTAATAAATTTTGTGTGTGGAAACTTTAGATCTTGATATCTCTTCCATATTGCAGTCTGTTCTCTAATGAGAAGACTGTTCTATTGAGGCAGCAAGATGATCTGAGCTTAGAAGTCAGACACAACTTTGAATCTCAGTTCTGTTCCTTGGCAGCTATGTGATGGAGCAAGTTATAAAACTTTTCTGAGTTTGTTATCTCATCTGTAAAAGGGAGGTAAGTAATAACAGCTTTTATGGAATCGTTATACGATTTATTGTTGTTAAATGCCATCAAGTTGGTACTGACTCTTACTGACCCTGCACAGGGTTTCCAAGGAGCTGTAAACTGACCTGCGGTCCAGTATTTGTAAGATTTAAACTACCCGGAACAGGCACCAAATATTGTTATAAACATGTATATTTGCAATACTTTCCTGATACGTAAATACATGACATACCACACAGGCCCCTTGTTTATCGCCAGGTTGTCTGAATTTTCTCCATTAGAGATTCAGCCCCTTGGGTAGAGAAATTATATTGAATCAAAATCAACATATGCCTAGAGGAGGTATTATGTCTTCAGGTAACAAATCTACAGTTGTACCTGGTGTTGTGACTCTTAGCTACCCCGTGTGCTACACCATCTGCACAGTCTTTGCTGTGTTTGAACCTATTGGTGCAGCCACTGTGTCAATCTCATGAAGGGTCTTTTCACTGAACCTTTATAAGCATGTGGGATTTCACTCTTCTCTGGGATCTGAGACCTTCAGGATCTTCAAGAGAAGATCTGAAAGCTGTTTTCAACATTTCAAAAATACTAATGGGAATTGTGGAGTCCTGGTGTGGCGCTGTGGGTTAATGTGCCAGAACTGCCAAGCTGTTTGAACTGCAAGGTTGGTGGTTCAAGTTCACCAGCTGCTTCTCGGAATACAGGGTCGCTATGAGTCGGAACTGACTTGACGGCACTTAACTACAACAACAACAACAATGGGAATTGTACATTTCTTGTGTTTACGGGTTACTCTTGACTGAGGGAAACATTACATTTCTTTCCCAATGACTAAAATTACCTCTCAGTAATGCAACACTGTACCAAAAAGAAATGGCTAATATTCAACCATTTCAAGAGGTAACATATGATCAAGAGCCAATGATACTGAAGGAAGAAGTCCAAGGTGCGTTGAAGGAATTGGCAAAGAACAACGCACCAGGAATTGATGGAATAAAAATTGAAATCTTTCAAGAAGATCAGGAGGCACTCACTAACTCTGCCAAGAAATTTGGAAGACAACTATCTGGCCAACTGATTGGAAGAGATTCGTATTTGTACCCATTCCAAAGAGAGGTGACCCAATGGAATGCGGGAATCATTGGACAGTCTCTTTGATATCCCATGCTAGTAAAGTTTTACTAAAGGTAACACAGAAACGGCTGCAAGCATACATTGACAGAGAGCTTCCAGAGGTTCAAGTCGGATTCAGAAGAGGCCGTGGAACATGGGATATCAATGCTGGTGTCTGATAGATCTTGGCTGAAAACAGAGAATATCAGAAAGATGTTTACCTGTGTTTTATTGACTACGCAAAGGTTTTTAATTATGTGGATCATGACAAGCTATGAACAACATTGCAAAGTATGAATATTCTGGAACACTTCATTGTGTGCATGAAGAATGTGTACCTGGATCAAGAGGCAGTTGTTCAAACAGAACATGGGAACACTGAATGGTTTAAAATTAAGAAAGGTATGTGACAAGGTTGTATTCCTTCACCATACTTATTCAACCTGTATGCTGAGCAAATAATCTGAAAAGCTGGGTTCGATGAAGAAAAACGTGGCATCAGGATTGGAGGAAGACTCATTAACAACCTGAGATATGCAGATGATACAACCTTGCTTGTTTAAAGTGAAGAAGACTTAAAAAATATTTACTGATGAAGATCAAAGAGCACAGCCTTCAGTATGGATTGCATCTCAATGTAAAGAAGACAAAAATCCTCACCATTGGACCAGTAAACAACATTCTTATCAGTGGAGAAAGGATTGAAGTTGTCAAGGACTTCCTTCTTCTTGGATCAACTATCAACACTCATGGAAGCAGCAGTCAAGAAATCAGACAACATATTGCATTAGGCAAATCTGCTGCACAAGACCTTTTTAAAGTGTTGGAAGAGCAAAGATGTCAGCTTGAGGACTAAGGACTCAAGCCATGGTATTTTCAATAACCTCATCTGCATGTGACAGCTGGACAGTGAATAAGGAAGACCGTAGAAGAACTGATGCTTTTGAGTTATGGTGTTGGAGGAGAATATTGAAAGTGCCATAGGCTGCCAAAAGAACCAATAAATCCATTTTGGAAGAAGTACAGCCAGCGTGCTCCTTGGAGGCCAAGATGGCCAAACTTCATCTCTCATACTTCAGACATATTGTCAGGAGGGACCAGTCACTGGCGAAGGATATCATGATTTAGTAAGGTGGAGGGTCAGAGAAAAAGAGGTAGACCCCCAACGAGATGGATTGGCCAAGTGGCAGCACTGATGGACTCAAGTGTGGCAACAGTAGTGAGGTTGGCCCAGGTTTGGGCAGTGTTTCGTTCTGCTGTGCGTAAGGTTGCTATGAGTCGGTACCGATTCGATGGCACCTAACAACAACAATGCAACACTGTAACCGTAGTGGTTACAAATCGGGCTGTGAACCTTAAGGTCAGCAGTTTGAAACTACTAGCTGTTCCACGGGAGAAAGATGAGGCTTTCTGCTCCCATAAAGATTTACAGCCTTGGAAACCCTGTACAGGGTCACTGTGAGTCGGAACCAACTCCATGGCACATAATCACCACCAATGCAACACTAAATGGAGTCCTGGTGCTGTAGTTGTGAAGAGCTGAGTACCTACCAGTTACTTCATGGAGGAGAGAGATGGGACAATCTGCCCTTGGAAATCCTATGGTGTAGTTCTATTTAGTCCTATAGGATCAATGTATGAGTCAGAATCAACTTGACAGTAGATTTTTTTTTTTGGTATCACATGGTGATGTGACACCTTGTATTTTATATCCCATTCATTAGATACAAAGATATAATAAGATGTAAGTCAATGACAGTGAATCAATTATTAAATGCATTTAGTAGATAAAATATCTAAAAATGCAAGATCCCTGTTGAAAAAAAATATAGAGCGCTCTTAGTGCAAAATTGAGATCCCATTTACTGAGAGGGATTTTGGAAGTGGGGAAGAGAACCATGAAACAGGAATTGGAATATCAAACTCATGACTGCTTTGCTGAAGCTGACATATCTCCCATTTGGTATTCTAGCTCATTCCCTGTTTCAGGAATGTTGAACATTTCATGTGTAATGGTGCCCTCTTCTGGAGTAACACCCCACTTCCCACCCTCTTCATTTAAAAATTGTTCCAAAGTAAACACTGAGATCTCTCTCTAAAGGTTAAACATTTAAAACACTAGTCCAAATAATTCCAACTAATAGCTAGATATAAGGAGCTCTGGTAGCGTAGTGGTTACGAATCGGGCTGCGAACCTTAAGGTCAGCGGTTCGAAACTACCAGCCGCTCCGCGGGAGAAAGATGAGGCTTTTACTCCCGTAAAGATTTACACCCTTGGAAACCCTGTACAGGGTCGCTATGGGTCGGACCCGACTTGATGGCACTTAACAACAACAACAACAATAGCTAGATATAAAGTTGTTTAGTTCTGGGGAGTTGATTCTGGACCCTCTATAGGGTTTGAAAAGTATAAATGTGTTCAGAGCTGTCTCCTTCCTTTTCAACCTCAAAACCATGAGCTAAAGGTGGAAAATATAAACACATCTCCATAGTACTGTTATATCAGTCAGTCTTCTGAATTTCCCTACCCTATCAGGGCAAGTATTATTGCCCCCACTTTTACAAACCCAAACAACATGTTTTAAGGTTGAGTTAGCCAAGTTCATGTGGGTAGTGATGGCCAACGCACCCTCCCTCTTCCCTTCCTTCCCCACTCCTTCCTTCCCTTCTGTACTATCAGCACTCAGTCTTTGCACTCAGTGTCTCTTGACCAATTCATAACTATCTCTTAAATTATTTCCATCTCATAGTATTTAAAAACAATTGTTAAATTCCTCATAATGTAATACTGACATATGGATGCAAAAAGCTGTGTTTGATGGCTCTTTTTACCTTCTACTTTCTGACCATGGGTTAAAGATAGAAATCTAGTCTTGTAGCTTGTGAAATAACTAAAAAGGGTCAAATTTAGATATAGTCACCTTGTTTTTAAATTTTAAAGGTCACAAAGTTTAACAAATTGGAGCCAAAAGCAAGGCAATCTTTTATAGTACTTTGGAATATAGAGGCACCCAATTGTTAACATTTTGAGAATGAAATTGTATCAGTGACTCTGGTAAGGTATTTGGAAAGTAAGATGATTTATTCATTACCTGTGCACTTTAATTCATGCTTCTTTTCTCCCACCCCAAAATCGCATCATTAGATACAAATCTCTTGAGGGAACATAAGTGAAAGAAAAAAAGTCCTCCCTCATCCCATTCCAAAGTTTTCTAAGTTCTGTGAGGGAAGATACCATTGAAAACATGTATATAATATGGTAGCCTCCACTCTATATATACGTTTCTTCCAATTTAGGCACTACTTGATCAAGTTATCTATGATTTGGTTTACTTGACCCACACTTGCCCTTCACACCTGACACAGGCAGCAGCCAGAGGTTTGGCGCAGTGAGGTTAGGGTTTAGAAGACAGGCGTTGTAGAGTATTGCAAATCACAGAAGGTTATTTTGAAAAACATTAATAAGTCTTGAACAACAGGGATCATTGAACAGTCTAGTCCTTTTCCTTTTCAGATCAGTTGTTAAGACCTGCCAAAAATAGTCCTGAGGAACCCAACAGTTTACTTAATCCACATTTAATCTTCAACTACAACATATAAACATTTCTTGATTTTCTAGTTCTGTACGTGTGACCTTCTTAGGCATATCCATATTATGACAGCATATTCTGTTGTAGGGCGACAAAAGCATTAGGGTGGTAGGAATGGGGTGGGTATGAAGGGTTGAGAGGAAAGGATTTAGGAAAGTACAAATCTAGAGACACGTTTTTGTTGTTAAAGGTCATAGTCAGTTCTGACACATAGCCACTCTGTATAGGGTTTCCAAGGAGCAGCTGGTGAGTTTGAACTGCTGATTTTGCCGTTCACACTGACCTTACAGTCTAGTGCATTATCCCACGGCGCCACACCAAAACTCCTAGATACATGGATGTTCTTACAATTTAGAAAGAGATGCACGATTTATTCCATTATATTTGGTTGAACACTGCTTGTATTCATAATACTGAATCGGTAAGACGACAGCTAGATAAATATTCTGCCCTTGACGTCAGTCTACAGCCAGCACAGAATATTTGTAACAAATTTCAGCTAGTCAGAACCCACAAACTTCATGACATACATCAATTTTGTATTTTGCTAAGACCCAAGTCTACTAAACCAGAATGCGGGCCATTATCCGGTAACTGGTTTGTGCGCATGCCTCTGTCCTCCATCTGTTTGGTTTCGTTCTCAGCTCCATAGTAGCTGGGTTGAAGAGAAAGAAATGGCTCTGAAAAGAAAGCACCAGACGAATGTAGGAAAAAATGCTAAGGAAGTAACCATCTAGATTGCTCAAAGGTTCCCAATTTTGCGTAAGGCTGCAGTTTTAAGAAAGACAGTGAATTCCCGACGGTAAAATAAAAGTTCTTAATTTACTATAAATGAATATAATCTATCGCAGGCTCCTGGAGTCTTGGTGGCGCTGTAGGAGAAACACCGGACTGTTAACCACAGGATGGGTGGTTCAAGCCCAATATCCTCGCTCCTTGGGTCACTGAATCGGAACCGACTCGACAACACTTAATAACAACATTGAGGATCATTAGACGTGCTTTCTCTCTAGCACAAATAGGTTTCTTCGGAATTTTTCTGCTGTTTTATGAGAGCATCTTTCTTCCCCAATACACTTTGGAAAACAGTTTTCAGGTTGGTGGGAGAGAAAGCACTGGTCTCGGGTCCTGACGGTGCCACTGACTGACTTTTAGACAATTCCTGTCTGGTTTAATGGGTAGTGTGAGGTGGACCGAGAATGAACGAAGACCAGCTTTCTAACAAAAACCTATGATTTCAGAGGTGGTGGTCTGGCTCCACCTTCCACCTCAAGCTCTTTGGGCCAACTCCAGACCCGACGAGGCCCACGAAGGTCAGGCCGCAGGCCTCGCGGGAAGCCGTTAGACGTTAACGCCTCGCCCCGCAAAGGGCGGGACTGCGACACGCAGCTTCCGGTGGTGACGGCTAGGCTGAGCGTGGCGTTTCCCACCGAGCACAGTACGAACTTGCCCAGGCGGTAGGCCATCGTGCGCCCAGGCCCCTCTCCAGTACCGTTGAGGGGCTTCCTAGGTCGGCAGTGCATGCTGGGAAGCCCCCGATGCGTCTTCTCTAGGCCAAGAAATTCTTTGGGGGAGGGGAACGGGACGGGAAGAAACCCAATAATTTTATGCTAATAAGTGCACGTGTACGTTATCACGATTGGCTAGAATTTTACTGTAGAAGCCAATCACTTCAGAACAAGGATGTGCCAGCGGAGATTTCTCACATTCATTGGATGGGAGGTTGAGGCGCAAGGGATGAGTTTAAACGGAAGGTCTCCCGGATTACCACCCCCCCCCCACCCCCCCCACCCCCGTGCTGCGGTGCGTGTCCCGGAAGTGATGTAGGGAGCTGGCCGGGCGGCAGCCCAGCCCCCGTTTCCTTTCACGCTGTTGCTGCCCGGTAGGTGCTGGTGGCCGCTGTGCCCAGAAGGAGGCGGCGGCGGAGGCGGAGGCTAATGATGCCTGGGAAACTCCTCTGGGGGGACATTATGGAGTTGGAGGCACCCTTGGAGGAGTTGGAGAATCAGAGGAAGGAGAGGCCAAAGGTGAGCAGCCTCTGGGCCGCGCCTCCTTTTGGGCTGCGCTGGCTTGGGCGGGAAGGGAGCTGTCCCCGATGGCCTGTCAGAACCGGGCCGGAGCATCCGAGAGCCTGTCCTCGCGCCGCCTTCAGTGCTCTGAGGTGGATCCGGGGCCTGTGCCACCTGCACAGCCCTACCTGGAAAAGGGCAGCCTTGGGCTTTGGCCCGGCCTCCCGCCGCCCAGCAGCCTTTCCCGTTGGCGCCCGTGTATTCGTTCCATCCCTCGTTCTTGAAGCAACGACACCTTTGGTTCTCGTTGACCCTCTTAAACGACAGTGAAGGGGAAGAACCGCCTTTATGTGTGTTGCTTCTCTGCCATCCCATCCTGTGTGTATGTTGGGTGTACAATCCTACACTAACAAGTCCGAGGAGGCTTAAGGAAGGGTACCTGCCGTGTGCCAGGCTGGGCTGAGCTGGGGTGGGAAGGGCTGAGTTGTATGAATAGTCCTTACTGCCAGTATGTCCATTCAATCCGCACATGTGGATAAAGTCTCATTGGTGCCAGGCTCGTTGGTGGGCACGAAGGAGTTTTAAACTCTGACTATACGAAATGGAGTATAAAAAAGGAGTCCTGCCCTCAAGGACTTGTAGGGTTGAAGAAACAGAAGAAAAACATCCCAGAGCAATGAGGAGACCACAGATGCTGTTAAGACGTACAGGTGAAATTTTACTGGCGACATTTGACCTGGAGAAAAGAAAACAGACCTGAGGAGGGTAAAATCAAAACTTCCAAATCGTCCAAGGCTGCCTTTTAACGACATCAACAACAACAATGTATTCTGATCTCAGAGCAGCACTTACCCACCGACCTTGCCACCAAGGGTAAACGCGCCATTCCATCCATGGTTGCTCCTGAAACACTTGTTTCCAAGTCATGTCAGTCGAGGTCTGGTACTAGTTTTTTTTTCTGATCACCCCAGTATGCAGTAATCTCACTCCCATTTGAAGTCTATCTTATTAGCTATTTTTATCATTCAGTTAGTATTTATGATGTGTGCATCATTGCAAACTTAGCTTAATGTTCCTGTGCATGTATTTCCCAAAGATATTTGAGGAAAATGACCCCATCTTTGTCCATTCTTGCATTTCAGTTGTTAATTGCCATCGAGTCGGATCCGACCCATAGCGACCCTATACAGGGTTTCTGAGGAGTGACTGGTGAGCTTGAACTGCTAACCTTGCAGTTCAAATGGGTTTGCATTTCAGTTGTTGTTGTTGTTAAGTGCCGTCGAGTCGGTTCCGACCCATAGCGACCCTGTACAGGGTTTCCAAGGCTGTAAATCTTTACAGGAGCAGAACGCCTCATCTTTCTCCTGCGGTAGTTTCGAACTGTTGGCCTTAAGGTTCGCAGCCCGATTCGTAACCACTACGCTACCAGAGCTCCTTTTTGCATTTCAGTATAATCTGCTAAATTGGTGGCTTTATTTTTGCAAATTGATGGCTTTCACGTTGTATATCCTCTAGAAATACTTGATTAGCTCTTTAACTACAAAAGATAACCAAAAAAGTTGGAAATGGTACCAACTAATAAAAATAGAACGTTAGTCCAACCACTCTGGAAAATAGTATGGGGCTTCCTTAGAAGGTTGGAAATAGAAATACCGTATGATCCAGCAGTTCCTCTACTTGGTATTTACCCACAAGTTCCTCTACTTGGTATCTATGAGCCATAATACTAGCAGATATATGCACATCAATGTTCATAGCAGCACTATTCACAATAGCAAAAAGATGGAGACAGCCTAAATACCCATCAGTGGAAGAATAGATAAACAAACTTTGGTACATAAACACAATGGAATATTATACTACCTTGAAGAATAATAAGGAAGCTGTAAGCCACCACATAAAATGAACCTTGGGGAAGGACATTATGCTGAGTGAAATTAGTCACAAAAGTACAAATATTGCATAAGGCCATTATTATAGAAGCTTAAGGAAAGATACCTATACTAAAAGGGTTAAGGGGAGGGGGATTCTTTATTGGTTACCAGTGGGGTAGGGCGGGGTGTTTGGGGGAGGTGGAGGGAGGCGATGGTAGAGCACAGGGTAGGGTGTAGACACATAGGTGTTGGGGAGGGCAATACACACGAAGGCGCAGGGGGGTGGAAGAACAAGGTAGATAGAGGAATGCTAAGACAGGTTTGCAGGGGTAAATGGGACAGGTAAATAGTGATACATGCTCAATTTGGAACAACAGGGCTCGGTGATACAGGAATTGAGGCATAGTCTGAAGAAGGGTATCTTATGAATATTGGGATTTGAGTGGGATAGAAAGGAATGTCGGGAAACATGATTACAGAATGCTTGTAAGCCCGTCTTCAGCCTATAACTGATTGGAATACCTAAAAGGTACAGCTTGCCCAGTGAAATAGGCCTTTTGCAGAGCCTTTGCAGTATATAGGATCTTAGGTGGAATCCTGAGCCCCATCCAGCACCTTCTGAGTTGGGACATTCCCACTAGAAAGGATAAGCAGATCTGCCTGGAACAGCTAGAGTGACATGATAACATTTTCAAAGAAACATCATCAGGAAAACCCAAAACAAAAATGGCAGTTTGATTGGCTACTACAAGAATAAGCAAGTTGTTCGCCGGGAAGCCATCAAGGCAAGAAATCAAGTCCCGTCAGGACAAAACCTACTCTAAGACTGAAACTCAAAAGGGAACACATGAGCTTGCTGGCGACATTGGTCTACTGGTGAGTGGAAGATGGGGAAAGGTAGCAATGAAGAAATGAGCTGAGTTCAACCATGTTCGTAGACTCCCGTTGACCTAGAGATGAGAGAGAGAAGAGGAATGGCTGGTTGGTCCAAAGTGTAGTGAGACCTGGGATCTCCTGAGCCCATGGACAAGGACATAGCCACAGAGGGCTAGAGCTGAGTGTGAAGCATCCAGCTGATCTGAAGTGAGGGGAGACACACAAGAACACCCAAACTTGCAGATAGTACCCATTTGACCTAGCCTTGATGGCTTAATAATCAGAACTGGACTTGAGGAACATTAAAAAGAAAACAATTTTTGTCAAAGGAAATGACTGTAAATTGCTATAATGTGATGAACTTGAGCTTTATTCATGGAGATAGTAGCTCAAAATACCAACAGAGGGAAGGAGTCTTCACATCAAGTACACAGGGTAGATAGGGGTGGACAACTCAGACATTGGTTACCTAAAATGAGGGGTGGTGATAAAGGCACAAAGTGACTGGCTTACAAGATTTCAAGAGGGAGTGTAGTATAGGAGTGTGTGTGTGTGGGTGGGTGGGGGGGAGATAGAGTCGCTACTGAATAGTTTTCATCTTGTCTAGATGGGTTTGGTAAAAGAGATGAGGATAAGATTTTTATGATTCAATAGTGAGTAATTGTTATCATGACTAAATGTGACTGTCACATTTGTAAAGGTAGAAGTTTTATAACAAAAACTGGGGAGTAATTTTACAGTCCAGAAACAGAGGACCCTAGGAACATCAAGGGATAAGAGCATAACCAGAATGTGGAACCTTATTCAGAGAAGCGTTTGATATCAGAGATGGAGGCAGAGATGGGGACATGGATGGAGAGAGGGAAGCAGCTGAGGACTTTAGATTCATGGAAAAAGAGGGAGTGAGAGCTGGTGGCCAGGATGCAGACTTGCAGAATGTGCCTTTTGGTGGTATAAATTATACCTGAGTGTTTAAAAAAAATTTTTTTTAAGCTAAAATGAATAGCGAGAAATACTGTTAACTGATGGTACATGGAGGGGATTATAATCATTGTAATGAAACAAAGCATATGGTTTGTTGAATGTAAACTGATTATCTGCCCTGTAAAGTTTCACTCAATTCAGTGTTTTTTCTCACCTTGAGATGTTGCTGGGCTTGGACCTAGAGGTCTGACTTTCCCTTACTTCATCTTCTCCCTGAAGTATAGGGCCCAGGAGCAATGCAAACCTCAAGGTTGACTATAAATAAACCTTGTTTTTCCATACAGCCTATTGGTGTGGGGAGATGTGGGACTAGTTTATTTAACTAAAGATAAACTGCTGTAACATAACTATATAACTTATATTTATGCAAAGCTCTATTGACTACAGATTTTCATAGCAACTTTATACAAAGCTCTATAGATAGAAAATTTCATAGCAACTCTTATTTTATGGATGAGAAAAGTATGTAAAAGTAATCTTAAAAATTGTATACTTTATTGTGAAAATTGTGCTGGTAGCTTTCACTATTACTGGTTACTCTTTGTTGCCTTTGTTGAGTTGATTCTAACTCATGGTGATTCCATGTGTTACAAAAGTAGAACTGCTTGGTAAGATTTTCAAGGCCATTCAAGGCTGTGACCTTTCAGAAACAGATCACTAGGCCTGTCTCCCTCCGCTGTGGATGGGTTCTCTAACCACCAGTGTTTTGGCCAGTAGTTTATTGCTTAGCCATTTATGCTAACCAGGGACTCCTTTTTGTCCTATCTTTTATCTACTATCTTTTTGTTCTTTCAAACATCTGATCAAGTAATTCTGAAGTTACATTAAATTTGCAGATCATTTCTTGTAGACTGCAAATATTAATATACTGCCACTAGTGATTTTGACATTTTAGCATTAAAAGTGGAGAATATTCCACTAAAAAATTTATTAACTAAAAAAAAATTTTTTTTTAAACTTTCCAGGATTACTGATATACATGTTTTTCCACGGGAGTGTTAAGAGTTGGAGTTTTTGATGAACTGTGTAGTTTTCTTGTCATTACCTATTAATTATTGAATTTCAGGAAGGACCATAGTATGAAAAGAGCATAAGTTGGATTTCTAGCACTTCTACCTGCAGAAAATTCCTTTTATTAAAAAAATTTTTTTTTTTTAATTTTGGAGTCTTTGGCAAATTACTTAACTTCTAAGAAAATTTCCATTGCCTCATGTGTAAAATCGCAAAGGTAATGCTGGCCAACCATCCCTTAATCCAAAATCCTTGGAGGCTAGATGTGTTTTGGAATGTAAAATTTTGAGTATTTTTAGAAGATAATGCCCCTTATGAGTCCTGGTGTGTTGCCACAGGATAAGCACTCGATTGCAAGATTTGCGGTTCAAACTTGCCAGCCATTCCTCAGAAACCCTATAACAGGGTCACTGAGTTAGAACTGAATCATGGCACTTAACAACAATACCCTTTAAAGGGTTGGGGCTGCGACCTTTAATTAAATACCTTAATATTAAATATTCATACCAAAGGGGATGAATAAAGATTATAAATTGCCTTACATTAATTCAGGTCAAATTTTGCCACATATGAGTTCAGATCAGGTAAGTTATGTCTTTAAATCAATTACAAAAAAAACTTTCAGTTTTCAGAGCTTTTTGGATATTGGAATTTCAGATAAAGGATTATGAACCTTTACAACTGAGTCACGGCAGTAGTTGGAAGTCCCTTATGGAGTCCTGGTGTGGTGCTGTGAGTTAATGCGCTGGACTGAAAAGTTGATTTGAACTGCAAGGTTGGCGGTTCAAGCTCACCAGTCAATCCTTGGAAACCCTATTTAGGGTGACTATGGGTTGGAAATGAACTGATTGCACTTGACAACAACAATAATATCTCTTATGGATTGTTGTGAAGATTTAAACAAGATAAGCTGAAAGCACCTTACACAAAAGGTGCTCAATGTTATCTTTTGCAGCTGTTCACTTTTTGTTTATTTAAAAATTGATAAATATTGAATTTTCTTTCTTTTTCTGAGAATGTTATGAGGGTAGTTCACAAAGTCCATGGAAAATTCCATTATCTTTTCATTCACTTTTTGAAACTTTGTGTTTTAATTTCCCTTTAATATTATGATATGATTAGGGAGGGTACAGAGACTGGGTCCTGAGATGAGAAAGATAGGTTAAGACTTTGCATTTAGCTCCATGGAATCAGTCTAGATTTCTGCCAGATAGGTTTTCAAGATAACTGGTCAATTGAGTTTTACTGGTTTAGGAATTATGCTTTGCAGTCTTAAAATGTAAGACCTAAAACCAGCTTGTCGTTGCTGTTTTTTTCTACCACAGAATGATAGAAGGAAGTCAAGGCATCATTATGATTCAGATGAGAAATCAGAAACAAGAGAAAACGGTGTTACAGATGATCTGGACGCTCCAAAGGCCAAAAAAACGAAAACGAAAGAGAAGCTAAATGGAGACACTGAAGAAGGATTTAATAAACTGACAGATGAATTCTCTAAGTCTCATAAGTCAAGAAGAAAAGACCTGCCTAATGGTGATATTGATGAATATGAAAAAAAATCAAAGCGAGTATCATCCTTAGATAGTTCTACTCATAAATCAAATGACAATAAACTAGAGGAGGTATGGATAACTTTTGTTTTTGCATTTGACGTGATTTTTTAAAATACAGGCTGATCTAATTTTTAGGCGAATCAGAGCTGATTGTATTCTATAATATTTCCTGTGCAGTCTAGAATACATTCTTGGACTCACTGCTTTTGCTAGTAGTTGTTAGAGTAGATAATTTATTTCACAGAATTTGTTCATTTTACAGTAGTCCTATAGCAGAGTATAGTCTGTTGTTAAGTGGCGATGAGTGTGTTCCAATGCATAGTGGCCCTGTATAGGGTTTCCAGGGCTGTAAATCTTTCAGAACAGAAAGTCTCAGATTTTTTCTCATGGATCAGCTGGTGGGTTTGAACTGCCAACCTTGTGGTTAGCAGTCCAGCTTATCCCACAGCGGCGCACCAGTGCTCTAGAGTTTATCTAGGTATTATAAATTTTCAGTATAGTACTCAGGTCTTCAGAAAGAAAACAGTTTTATATTTTGATAATAATTCTAAATGTTTAATTTGAATAATTATTGATAATTTAAGTATACTTGAACTTCATTAAATGTGTGCTCTTTAGGAATGGGGCTTTGGAAAAAGTTTTGAGTCCTTTCTTTTCGTACAACGAGGTGCATTTTTATTTGTGAGTTTGCTATTTGCCAAGAAACACATGTCAATATGTTCGCTGAATAAGGCCCTACGAATCTTCTGTTTCTGTAAAAGTTTGAAAGCCTTGAAAACCCTCTACAGAGTTCCTCTGAGTCTAAACTGACTCCACAACAACACTAATGGAAGGTACAGGTTGCTTCTTGTTCTGTTGGAATTTTGCCTGGTACAGTGCTCTGTAATATAATAGGCGAAAGTGTTCATTATTTTGGTAAAATTCTGTTGTTAAATGCCTTTGAGTCGGTTCTGACCAATAACGACCCTGTATAAGGTTTCTGAGGAGCAACTGGTGAGCTTGAACCACTGACCTTGCACCTCAAACTGACTTTGCAGTCCAGCACATTAACCCTCAGTGCCATACCAGGACTCCACTAGTGTTTAGGAATTTTATTTCTAGGAATTTAAGGAGATAATTGTAAGATGTGTAAAGATGTAGGTGTAAGTATTCTTATCGCAGTAACATTGCTGACTATAGTAAAAAATTTAAAGCCTCCGTATTTCTGGTAGTAAACAGTTTATTTAATAAAACATTGTTATATGCATGCCATAGCTATCACAAGGGATGTAGAACACTAGAAAGCTATTCAGTATATTCTGTTAAATGAAAAATTGACAAAATAATAATACAGAATAATCTTTTATTTTAAATATTTGTGCCTAGGTAAGAATTGGATCAGTGTGTTTCAAATGTGGTTTTAGATACCTAGATTATAGATGTGGTGGTGGTTACATGCCGAGGAGTTAGTTCCGACTCATAGCGACCCTGTACAGGGTTTCTGAGGCTGTAAATCTTTATGGGAGCAGAAAGCCTCATATTTCTCCCGCCGAACAGCTGGTAGTTTCCAACTGCTGACTCTGAGGTTGGCAGCCCGAATCGTAACCACTACACTACCAGAGCACCTTTAGATTATAGGTACATTTTTTAAATTGCTTATCTCCAGTTTCTAAAAATTCTACAATGAAAATTATTACTTTGGTGATAAACATGTTTTGTTTTAGTCTTAAAACAATAATAGCATTGAAGTTTGTTTAAATAGCTTACAATTTTAATTTTGGTATTAATTTAATTTGGTATTAATTCTGGTTCTCAGTTTGTTGTTGTTGTTGTTAAGTGCCTTCGAGTCGGTTCCGACCCATAGGCCTGAGTTATTTTTTACAGCCATTTGCTAATCCTTACTTGTTGATATTATTTATATCTGGGTAGAAGGTTTAGATTAAGGAGCTGTGGTAGTGTAGTGGTTATGGGTTGGGCTGCTAGCTTTCAGGTCAGCACTTTGAAACTGCCAGCCATTCCTTGGGAGAAAAACAAGGCTTTCTGCTCCTGTAAAGATTTACAGCCTCAGAAACCCTATACTGGGTCACTCCAACACCACAGCAAACCACTACCACCAAGATTTAGATTATAAAAAATATATTTTTTGTTACATTAATCAAATGGAGATATATTTTCATTTACACACTAGATTTAATTCTAAAAGGAAATTTATTTGTGAATTAAACATTTTTAAAACATGACCACCTAGTATAAAATAAAGTCAAGCAATACAAAAAAGAAAGAAAAAATTTGGGAACACGTTCAAATAATCTTGCTATTTAAAGGGCTACTTTTTAAATGTATCTTGTAAACTAATGTATTGCAATATTGAAAGTACTAACTAAAATTTCTTTATTAGGTCATTTAGTAAAATCAAACAGAAGAATAAACAAAGGGAAATGAGTAAAAAATTTTAAATACCTGATCAATATGGACTATATTATTTAGAATTTTTATTTCATTTTGACAGACTCTAACACGTGAACAGAAAGAAGGAGCTTTCTCCAATTTTCCTATTGCTGAAGAGACTATTAAACTTCTAAAAGGTACTCAGAATTTTAATGGATTTGAGCAATTAGAAATAAACTAGATTTCATCAAGTTTAGTGTCCTTCCTAGCAGGATGGAGATTTTAAAAACCACAGCTTTTTTCTAAATACAGTTATTTCTGTATCATCCTTGTCAGTTTTCTGACCCATTTTTGAACTTAGAGAATTACATGTATTCTTCAGAAGTTCAGACCCTCTTTTTATAGTCCCTCTTTGGGGTAGGGATAACTATAATTTTCACTAATTGGTATGTCTTTTAGGTGGACATGAGGGGTCAGGATTGTTATTTTCACACAAATTTTTTTGTTTTTTCTTAATGCTAGCCTTAAAGAAATACTTACATGTTGTTTCACAGGTCGAGGGGTAACATATCTCTTTCCCATTCAAGTGAAGACCTTTGGTCCTGTTTATGAAGGAAAAGATTTAATTGCTCAAGCACGGACAGGAACAGGAAAAACATTCTCTTTTGCCATCCCCTTGATTGAAAGACTCCAAAGAAATCAAGAGACAATTAAAAAAAGCCGTTCACCAAAGGTAACCTTTATAGGAAGTAAAAACTTTAAACATTATTCTAACAGAAAAGGGAGCCTTAAAGAGAATTTATTAGCTTTAAGTTCAAGTACTGCTAAGATAGAAAAATTAACCTTTGGCATAAGGTAAAAATTTGGGTCCTAAAACAAAAACTTGCTAATTGTAATATAACAAAACCTCAAGCAAACAATTGAAGTGGTCATTGCATTTTTATGTAGGTCTATAGACACAACTTTGTATATTTTGAAGCCAGCATTTCATACTTTAAAAATCTGAACAGTTAATAATGAAATATTGGTGTCCTTATTTCTTCTTTGTCCTCAGTCCTGCCTTTGCTTTTAAACAGTGAATATTTGCTGTAAAAGATATTTACTCATTTATTTGGACATTTAGTAAATATTCAATATTCATTTAGTAATAAAAGCGTTTACTTTTAAATGGTAAAGGACCCCTGGTTGAGCACTGGGTCAAGTATTGGCCTGCTAACCACAGTTGAGGCTGTCTGCTTTCATAAAGCTTTCCAGTCTTGGAGACTCGAAGGAGTAGTTCTGCTCTGTCCTAGATGGTCATTATGAGTCAGAATGGACTCAATGGCAAAGTGTTTGGTTGGTTTGGATTTAAATAACAGTTTAATTTGCTATAAAGTGGTATTTACTAATTTATTTTGTCTTTTAGAAAATATTCAGGGTTTAGTAAATATTCTAATGTTATTTCACTGGTTGACTTTTAAAAATAATGTAGGCATGATATTGCTAATTTCTGTGTTGGGATGCTGGGTTCCCGTGTTCATTTATAATTAATAAAGAACATAAGGGAACTTAGTGATGTTATAGACATTATAAAATGTAAAGACATTATAAAAGCAAATTCACATATGTGAATGTAATTAAGTCATAATAGTCTTCGATAAACTATTCCAGATTAATTTGGCTGTCCTGGTTTATAGGTCAGATCTTTTTGGAGAGTTCCACTCCTTAGGTGAAATTAGATACAGAAAGCAATCTCAGTACCACATTTAAAAGCTTTTTTGTTAGAAAGATATTACTGGAGATTTCAGCCTTAGGAGTTCTGCTTGATTCTGGATAGGACTCTCTACTTTTCTAAGACTCAGGTCCATCACCTATAAAATTGGGTTAGTAATGCCAACTTTTAAGGGTTTTAGAAGAGGATTAAATTAAATAATTCATGTAAAGCATTTAGTGGCTGGCACAGTGTGAACATTCATTTGTTTAACAAATTTTTTTGATATCTTTTATGTGCCAGACCCTGAAGTGCAAGGGATGCAGTAACTAAAGCTGCCATAAATCCTTGTCTTTTTGAAATAAGTGAAATAAGAGTAAATATGTATGTATTTGGTACCTAAACGTTAAAGAAATAACATCAGCGATGTATTTGGTACCTAAACGTTAAAGAAATAATATATGCATTTTAGTAGATGTGCTAGATAGCAAGCAAATAAGTGGAATATAAATATTTGAGATGATAAGTGCTAAGATGAACAAAATAAAGTAAAAAGGGAGGTGAGGTGATGGAACATAAAAACAGGGATGAGACTTGCACTGAGAAAGTGACTTTGAGAAAGAGACATGAAGGAGTGTGGGAACTTGTAATAATTACAAGCCACTGACTGGTGCAAACAGTTTATTAAGTATGCTTGGCTACTAAACAAAAGGTCCGAGGTCCCTAGCTACCAAGAGGTGTTTTGAAGGAAAGGCCTGGCAGCCGATTTCCAAAAATTCATCCATTGAAAATCTTGTGGTTCATAGTTCTACTCTGATAAACATAGGGTCATCCATGAGTCAGAAGTGCTTGATGGCAACTCTTTATTGTGCTGTTGTTATTAGTACTCTGTCTTTAAATATTTAAACAGCATCGATGTTGAGATTCCCTGGTTTTAAATGCTCTTTAAAAATGTCTTCTCATGTATGATTGGTTGAATGTGATGATCTTGTCTGTAAACCTTCACTCAGTTCACAATAAAAAGTTTTTAAAAAAAATGCCTTCTCAGTTTGAATTTTGAAGTCTGGAAAATTGTCTTCTTTTTTAAAATTGTTTGCTTAGGTACTCGTTTTGGCTCCTACAAGGGAACTGGCAAACCAAGTAGCCAAAGACTTCAAAGATATAACTAGGAAACTCAGTGTGGCATGTTTTTATGGTGGAACATCATATCAAAGCCAAAGTGAGTAAATATGTATGACAATAACTCAGCGATGTATTTGGTACCTAAACATTAAATAACTCATTTAAAAATGCATATTTGATTTTACTTACATTGCTGACTTTTCTGTCCTCTCACAGTTAATCATATTCGAAATGGCATTGATATCTTGGTTGGAACCCCTGGTCGTATCAAAGATCATCTGCAGAGTGGCCGATTGGATCTTTCTAAGCTGCGTCATGTTGTCCTTGATGAAGTGGATCAAATGTTAGATTTAGGTTTTGCTGAACAAGTTGAAGACATTATCCATGAATCCTACAAAACTGGTATATCTTAATTCAAAATAAGCACGATAACACCTTTTTCTGATCTATAAGTTTGTGGATATTTTACTTCATAATTTTTATTCTATTAGCCCCTAGTGTTCTAACAAAACTAAAATAATTTCTTGTTCTCTTAGTGGCTTTCTCCTGGGTTCAGTTTTTTTTAATATTAATCTCCAGTTTTGAAAGTTGAAAGTTTTAATAGTTGCAATGAAACCTACGTATTAAAATCTCACCCCTTTTTTTTGATTTTTTTATTATTTCTTTAAAATATGGGAGGAGTTTTAAGAGGTGGGTACATCACAGAATGATAAGAAAGTATTGAATTCTTTTTGTTTATTTAAGATTCTGAAGACAATCCTCAGACTTTACTTTTTTCTGCAACTTGCCCACAGTGGGTATACAAAGTTGCAAAAAAATACATGAAATCCAGATATGAACAGGTTGACCTTGTTGGAAAAATGACTCAAAAGGCTGCAACTACTGTGGAAGTAAGTAGTTTTCCAGCATGATAGATTTTAGCTGATATTTACTTTTAAAGTTTGTTGAAGCTAAACTTAAGTTTTGGGTACCTAAATTAAGCCATGATCTTTCTTTTTGCTCTTAGTCAATTAGGAGATACCTATGTGTAAGATTAAAGAGCAGAATAAAATAAACAGGAAAATAAAGTATGTGAAGAATCAAGTTCTAACAGATTTATATGCAGCCATAGAGGCAGACCTCAAAGGGTTTAGAATGTGAGAAGGGAGTAAATTTGTGTAGGTTAGGAAAGGATAATACTGGAATAATTTGGTAAAGCTTCGGTTAAAAAAGTCAGATTCTCTGTGCATAGTCCATAACAAAAAATTTCCAGAAAGATTAAAAAAGTTAAGTCTTTAAATAATTGAAAGCAAATAGATATTAATATGTATTCGATTTCATGAGAGAGAAAGGACTTTCTAAACCAAGTCAGGAGAATAAACCTTAAAGGAAAAAGTTGATAATTTGCACTCCATTAAAATATTAGCCAATTCTGTATTAAAAATTTATATATTAAAGACAGTATTTGTACCGTTTGTAATCATGTATATCATTTTTTCCCATGTAATAAATGTACTTATGAGGCAGCTTTAAAAAGTTTGTGGAAAAATTCCATTATTTTTTCATTCCTTTTTTCCATGAACTTTTTGGAGCCTTTTCGTAGATATGTACATAGGAAAAAGGGAAGATCTAAATTAATAATACAGTAATCTATAGAACACAATGCAGTGACTTAGAGTGAAAAGTTTTCAGAGTAATATGTATAGACTCATACTTTTTTTGTTACAATTACACAAGTAATGGTAATTGTGGATGCCTTTACTGACCCAATGAATATGAAAAGCATAGAGAAGTAGCTATTACTTTAAATTACTGAAGGTTGTCTTTTATAAAATATGCTACAGTTTGTCTTTTCATGTATTGATGGACATTAGGTATTTACATTAATATACAAGAACAGGTTGGAAAAATGAACATTAAATTGATGATAATTACTTTTGGGAAGGGGACGACTATTTTAGTATGGGAAGGTCAAAAAAAGCTTTGGAGTTTTTTGGAATGGTTCAAAATTTTGTAATAAGAATGTAAAATGTATCAGTGTAAGAATTATTAAGGATATTTTCAAATGTATAAAAATAGAGTAGTATAAGGAAGCTGTTGGAACCATAGCCCCATACCTTTCTCACTCTGCATTGAAAGCGATCCCAGTCCTCGTTTCATCTAACATGACTGCATATGTTTCTGAAAGCATAAGGACTCTTCAAAAACCAGCTAAAACAACCGTAAAGTCATTATCACAGCAGAAAAAAAGAAATCCTTAATCCTATCTAACATCTAATGTGCACACTGACCTGTTTGTTTTTTATTTTTTTAAAATAATTAGCTTGAATTTGGATCTGAATAAGATCCTTACATTGCCACTGGGTTGATATGCATCTTAATCCTTTGAAGCTGTAAATTTTTCAATCTCTTTTTATCCTCTGCAGTTTTGCTGAAAAATACTGATAATTTGTCTTAATTTCCAAAGCCTTAATATTGCTGATTTTTGCATCCCTATCAGTCAGAATTCATGGTAGTTAGTTAATTACCATGGGAGAAGGATGAGCAATCTTCTATAGATTTACAGCCTTGGAAACCATATGGGTACATTCTAGTCTGTTTTGTGTCATAGCTATGAGTCAGAATTGACTAACAGTTTTGGTTTGGTGTTACTTAACATGCTTTTCTGTCTCATTTTCTCTGTGAGTTGATAAGTTGAAAGGCTTGTATTTTTTGGTGGGAGAATGGAGAGAAGAGCAAGACTTTGTCATAGGTGGTGCAAATGAGTCTTAATTTTCTTTGCGCTTTTCTCTATCAGACATTTTATAATTATGTATGTTGACTTTTTTTAAAAAAACAGTTTTGTTACAACATAATGTACTTTAAAATACACAAATTAAAATTGCACAGTTTTAAGTTTTTTCTTAACATATTAATCATGAAAAATTTGAAACATTAAGCAATATTAAAATAATTTTCCAGCGGACATTACTCATATGCCTACCTTTTAGATACTACCATTAACATTTTGTTGGATTTGCTTTATCATGTTTATTTTTTTTTATGCATTTCAAAGTAAATTGCAGAAAGTGGTATACTTTTCCATAAGTGTTCTTGCCATGTGTACCTATTTGCAATTAAAAAAAATTTTCTTATGTTTTGAAATTTAAAAAATTGAGGTAAAATTCACATAACAGCTAACACTTTTAAGGTGCATAATTCAGTGACATTTGCAATATTATACAACCATCACTGCTATTCAGTTCCAAAATATTTTCTTTACCCCAGAAGGGATCCCCATACTCAATGATGTGTTATTCCCCGCTGTCTCTGGCAACCACTAATCTGCTTTCTGTTTTTGTGGATTTTCCTTTTCTGGATATTTTGTATAAATGGGGCCATCCTGTTGTGTGATCTTTTGTGTCTGTCTTCTTTCACTTAGGGTAATGTTTTTGAGGTTCCTCCATGTAATGTTTGAAATTTTTTGAAGTTTCATGCAGTTAAATATAAGATCTTAAGTATATATTTGCTAAATTTTTATAAATTCATACATTTGATAAACTATACTCCTGTCAAGATAAAGAATATTAACATCAGTCCAGAAAGATTCCTTATGCTTCTTCCCTGTCAATCCCCCAATCCAGAGGCAACCATTGTTCTGATAGATGAGTTGTACATGTTTTAAGCCTTCATATAAATGGATTCGTACTATATGTACTGTATTAGAGAGTTTCATGTGTCAGAAGGTGGTCCCTTTCCATTGCTGAAAACTTGTTTACTGTCCATTTATAAGCAGCCCTGGTGGTACAGTGCATTAAGCATTGGGCTGCTGAACTATAAGCTTCCAACCCACCAACTGCTTTGTCGGCAAAAGATGAGACTCTGTTCCCTTAAAGATTTACAGTTTTGAAAAACCTACACAGCAGTTTTTATTTTGTCCTTTAGGGTAATTATGAGTCAGAATTGAGTTGATGGTAGTAGGTTGACCCATTGCATCTGTTACAATTTGTTTATCCTTTCATGAATTGATAAACATTTGTATTGCTGCTGTTGTTGTTAAGTGCCATCGAGTTGGTTCTGACCCGTAGTGACTCTTTATAGGGTTTTCGAGGAGTGGTTGGTAAGCTTGAACCACCAACCTTGCACTTCAAACCGACTTTGCAGTCCAGTGCATTAGTGTATTTACCTTTTAAATGGGGTTAGGGAGAATTGATGTCTTAGAATCTCTCAGAAAAGCCCATTCTTGACAACATAGAAAAAAATGTTCAGGAAAAATACTTTTAATTAAAATACATTCGTTGAAACTTATTTGACATTTTCTTTCCTTAAGCATTTGGCCATCCAGTGCCATTGGTCTCAGAGGCCAGCAGTTATTGGAGATGTTCTTCAAGTGTATAGTGGATCTGAAGGGAGAGCTATTATTTTCTGTGAAACCAAAAAGAATGTAACTGAAATGGCCATGAATCCCCACATAAAACAGGTAATTTTTTAAAAATGTTTTTTCTAATAAAGGTTATAGGGATGAATCACTGAACAAAAGTAATACTGTGGGTTTTTTTGGTTTTTAAATGTTTTATTGTGAATTGTGTGGTAGTCTACATGGGAGAACATTAGATTTACATTCATTCTATCATCTATCGTTTAATTGGCATAGTTACCACCCCGTCCATGCATCCTCACCTAACCAAAGGGTGTACCCTGTAAGCCTGTACCCACCTACCACAGTCCTCAGCCCCTTTCCCTCTCCGGATCCCAAGTCCCCAGCCACACCATCTCTTGACGTCATCTTCTGTGCCTCCATCTCAGGCCTCACTGCTTCTGTGGGTAGGATCCCGCTCTCCACTTTAATACTGTGTTTTTGACCAGGTGTAATAGGCATTCTCAGAATTGAGTCTAGAAATAATTGTAATCCGTCTCGTGATTTGTGATTTGTTAAGTCAGGGTAGAATTTTGCCAGCTTTTACCAGAAACTTTTTATGATCTTGAAAATAAAATACAAAAGTTGAAAGTAAATGAGATCTATGGGTATGAGTGAGTGACATGGGTTTTAGAGTTTTTGTTAGAAAAAGAATCATAAGTATATGTTTGTAAAATTTCAAAGATATCCAAAAGTCTATAAAATAGTGTAATGCATTCTTATATATTCATTTCCTAACTTCAGCACTTAACATATCTGTATGTCCATCCACATCCCTCTCCTGAATTATTTGATGAAAACTTTAGATACTATCTTTTATTCATAAATAGTTTAATGCATATCTGAAAAAGAAAAGATCATTTTTTAAAAACTTTTTATTGTGAATTGAGTCAAGGTTTACAGAGCACTTTGCTTCACTACATGCTTGCAGTCCCCTCCGTTTATCAACAGTTAACAGCATTTACCTTTATTTATTTTAACTACTGAATTCCTCACTGTGTCTCTACTACCTTCATCTTTCCTCTGCTAACCTGCCTCTTGTCGTATATTGCCTACTGTTACCCATGTTAACATGTGTGTCCTCTAGCCCATAAATAATTTCCCCTTATCCCTCCCAAACTCACCCTCCTGCCCCCAACCATCATATATTGTTTCTTTTCTTGAGAAAACCTTTTTCTAATATTGGTTTCATACAGTGTTTGCTCTTTTGTGATTGATTAATTTCACTCAGCATATTGTCCTCTAAGTTTAACCATGTTGTGAGGTGTTACACAGATTGATCATTATTCTTCAGTGTTTCATATTATTCCATTGTGTGTATGTGCCAAAGTTTGTCTAAACATTTTTCTGTTGATGGTCATTTAGGCTCTCGCCATCTTTTTGACATGTTGGCTGTAGACAGCATATTGAAGGATCCTATTTACTTACCCATTCTGTTCTTTTTATCTATTGACTGGTACATCGATCCATTTCCATTTAGTGTAATTATCAATAGATATGAATTGATTGTTACCATTTTTCTGTGTGTGTGTTTTTTGTAGGGCTGCTGGATTGGTTGGTCCACATAATTTTCTATGCTAAAGTCATTTTGTTTGTGGGTTTTCTTTTGTGCTAATGTTTACTAGATCTTACTGATTTTCCTCTTTTTAATTTTGATGTGAACGTGTATTATATTTCTTTGAGGTTACCCTGTAATTTATTTTTTCCGTGCTTAAAAGTCTATTTTATCTTGAATCCACTTGACTTCTTTGCCATTTGAAAGTTCTGTATCTGAACTTTCTTTTTTTTTGTTTCCTTTTTTTGCTTTGTAGTTGACTTTTGCTAGGATACATTGATATGTCTGCTTCTGTGTTTTCAGTTTTTTAAGTTAGTTTTTAACTTTTTAATTTAAATTAAATTTTTTTTCTTAAGGTCAGTTTTTACTTGGTTTTCCGGTAAAAGAAATACTTTCTAAATTGTACACAACTACACACACACACATACACATTGGAAAACAGTTTCTCTGTAGGAGAAAGTTGAGTCTTAAGGCTCCTGCAAAAATTTAGAGCCTTGGGAACCCCTACACAGGGTGGCTATGAATCAAAACTAACTTGTCAAACTTTAAAAACAACAACATAGTTCTAGTAAGGAGTCTTGGCTAATCAGTAAGCCATCAGTTCAAACCCACAACCCACTGCATGGGAGAAAGATATGACAGTCAGCTTCCATAAAGAGTACAGCTTTAGAAACCCTATATTGTTGTTGCTGTTAAGTGCTGCTGTCTTGTCAGTTCTGACCCATAGCAACCCTGTATATGGTTTCCGAGGTGCGACTGGTGAGCTTGAACTGCCAACCTTGTTGTTCAAATTGACTTTGCAGTCCAGCGCATTAACTCACAGTGCTATACTAGGACTCCTTAGAAACCCTATAGGGCAGTTTTACTCTTGTCCTGTAGAGAAGGTTCCTATGGTTGGAATCAACTCTGTGGCACAACAATAACAACACTGTTCTAGTCTTTGTGGATATGTGAATCACAGATATTTCTCTAGATTTGGGCATTATTAAAAATTAACTGTGAAGACCTAGTTCTGTGTCTGTCCTTCTGGCCACAAACTATCAAGCCCATTAATTAAAAAAATGAATTATCTCCTAGATACTCATACTCACCTTATCTCCAACTTTTCTTATTGGTGAGTGATACATCTACCCATAGCCTAATCTAGGCATTTATATATCACCCTTGACTTTTCTTATCATTCCCCATTCAGTTTATTACAGTGTATTTTAAAATTCAATTTCCTATAATTCAAGACTGTCCATTTCTCTCATATTCCAGTTACAGAAGCTCAAAGTTTAGGAGGCATGCATAATGTCTTTGTAAATTATATGCCTTTTCTAATGTCTTCACCAATGCCCCTCAGTATCATATAATTCTCAAAGTCTTACATCACCAAGTCGCTATATACCTCTCCAATCTTCCCCTTGTTTTCTGCATTCTCTCCACACATGCTGCATTTCCTCATAGGGCTCTTGCACTTGTAGTCTACCTTGCCTAACAACTCTTACTTCAAATCTTATTCCAAAGCTTCACTTTTCAGTGATCTTTCCCATACCCCAGACTAGGTGAGATTGCCCTGCCTCTTAGATTTTTGCTTCATCCACTTTACAAGGGGGCTTCAAAAATTTCCTGGAAAATTTCCATTATTTTTAAATTCCATTTTTTCCACTTTAGAAGCCCTCTTGTACTTGTTGTTGAGTCGATTCCCACCCATAGCGACCCTTGAAAGATAGGGTTTCCAAGGAGTAGCTGGTGAGCTTGAACTGCCGACTTAGCAGTTCAAACAGCTTTGCATTCTGGCACATTAACCCACAACGCCACACCAGGACTCCTGTACTTGTTATTTGGATGTCTAATTATTTGATTGGGGAGCATGGTGGCTCCAAATGATAAGCACTGGACTGGGAACTGCAAGGCTAGTGGTTTGAATCCACTTGCAGCTCTGTTGGAGAAACAGGCTTTCTGCACATGTAAAGATTTAAAGCCTTGGAAACTTTGTACAGGGTCACTTCAGTTGGAGCTTACTTGATGGCACATAACAACAATAATTATTTGATTATTGTTTACCTCTCCACCAGACTGCAAAGACCATCAGGACCGAGGCAGTTTTATTTTGGTTTACCACTTTATCCCTAGTGCCGGACTACAGTGCCTGATTTGTAGGAAGTGCTCAGCTAAGGATTTGATGAATAAGTGGTCATTACCACTCCCTTGATGATAAGGCTACTTCTGAATTTTACAAAAGCATGCCTACCGGAGCTCCTTGACTTTTGTTTTATCTTTTTCTAATATATTCTCTACATTGTAGCCACAGTACTCTTTCTGAAATACAAACCTGAGCGTGATACTATTCTGTTTACAATCATTCTGTGTTGTTCTCAAGATGAAGTTCTTATTCCTTTCCAGCTTCATATCTCATTTCCCCCTTTTTTACTTTATGCTTCAGTAAAATAGAAAAATATTTGTATTCCTTAGGCACACTATCCACCATTTGCCTGTCAGTTTGTCATACTATGGTGGCTTGTGAGTTGCTGTGATTCTGGAAGCTATGCCAGGGTCTCAACCATGGTGGACAGGTTTCAGATGAGCTTCCAGACAAAGACAGACTAAGAAAGAGTGACGAACTACTTCCGAATATTTAGTCACTGAAAAACCTATGAATAGCAGAGAAACACGATATAGTGCCAGAAAATGAGCCCCTCAGGTTGGAAGGCAATCAAAATGCAACTGAGGAAGAGATGTCTCCTCAAAGTAGAGTTGAACATGATGACACTAATGGAGTAAAGCCCCTGGGCAAAAAACCTGCCTTAATTTGCTAATGGGACACAATTCTAAATGAAGAGAAACAGCTCTGTGCTACAAAGTATCCTAAAGGGAGTTGTGTGGACTGAGAACCAATAAGAATAAACAATAACCAGAGATTGAGATTCGTGGCAGCGCCTCGCCTCTCAGAACTAAATCGACAGAAGGAAGAGTTGAGAACAGAACAAAACTATAAGAACAAACTCAGAGAATCTGGGAGGTCAGTCTATGATCAAAACAATTACAATGTAAAAGAAGGTAAACATATAGGAACAGAGATCCAGATGGTGAGAAGGTTAGGTAGATTACAGGATAAAATAGACTGCACTAAATGGAGAGAAGTTAATGGACTATAAGGTAACCTCAAACAAAATTAACACTTTACAATATACCAAGAAAATGAAAATCCAAGACGAACATGGAAACATTAAAACTATGAGAAGACTCACAAGAAAGAACACAAAAACCATGAACTCAGCAAAGGAAGACACACAGAACAAAGAAAACAACACCACAAAAAAACACAAAAACATAATGGCAGCAATTAATCCATACCTATCGATAATTACACTGAATGTAAACGGATAAAATGCACCAGTTAAGAGACAGAGGGTGGCAGAATAGATTAGAAAACAAGATCCTTCAATGTGCTGTCTGCAAGAGACACATCTCACACACAGAGACAAAAACAGATTAAAAGTCAAAAGGATGGTACCGGGATTTG